CACACACACACACACACACACACACACACACACACACACACCTACACACGCCCTGCAGGAGTGTGGTTTACTGTAAACATCAGTGTGTAATCTCTGCCATGACAGAACAGACAGGAGGAGCTTCACACTTTCATTTACAGATTTTTATTTTCCACAGGTTTCATTTAGCTTSAGTCAGCCAAAAACCTGCCTCTTTCAGGAAACTTTTATACTTATTTAACATTATTTACAATTGTTTTCATCATAAACATACATAGTTTTACTGCTTGAGTTATGATACTAGCATGTTTTAGCTTTTAGCTGCGCCTGGTGGCCATGTTTCTACAGTGGACCTGGTCAGGCTCAGCCTGAATGAGCTACGTTAGCCTTCCTGTGGGCCCACCAGCTGCAGGAGGGGCCGTACGAGCCGGGTGCATGATGCTACTGCTAGCCTTACTACTTTAGCTATATTTGTGCTACTTTGAGCCAGCCTTTTGTTGCTGCTTTTAGCTTTTGCTAGTTTTAGTATCACACTAGCTACAGACAGCTGACTGTTAATTGTTAGCTGAAGTTTCGCCACTTTTAAATAGCCTTTGCTATTTTTAGCTATTTTACCACTTGATCTTATATGTATACTTTAGCTACTTTTACCAACATTTGTTACTTTTAACATTCCGCTACACTGCAGCTTTTAGTTAGCATTTTGCTAATATTTGCATTAGACTAGCTCTATGTGATTTTTAGTCAATAAAAGTTTTTCACTTTTAGCTAACCTTTTGCTATGCTTTTAACTATGATTTATTACATTAGCTTTTAGTTATTTAATAGCTATTTTATTAAGTTTTAAATTTCTAATTATACTAACCCACCTTGTGACGTTTAGAAGTTCTGCTACTTTTAGCTAGCCTTTTGATATTGAGGTGTAGAGAATACCACGTCTGCTGTTGCTCAATGAAGAGAGAAACTCTGAAACAGGCTGGTTGAACAGCAAGAACCTTTATTTTGCAGTCCAGGAGATTACAGCCAAAAACCAAATTGTGGCCTACAATACCAAATGATTCACCAAGTAAGAAAGATGAAGAACGAAGGCCAAGGGTGGGGGTGTACAAGTCTCTTTATAGGCTTTCACAGATGTACATAAATCTCGTCATGGTATACCTTCTTCCTAATATGGTAATAAGTGCCGAACTCTAAAGCTGGAAACTGAGAGGCCTCACATCTGTGCATTCCTGAGACAAGGCCCCCCACTCTTTGGACACTACAATATTTTAAGATTTTTGCAGTTGTTCTTACTGAATTAGCTTAAAGCTATATTTTACTACTACTTTATCTTGTAGCTATTGTTGGTACTTTGATTTTTAGCTAGCCTTTCGGAAACTTTCACCTCTTTGCAAACGTAGCTGGTTTTAGCTAGCACTTAGCGACCTGACACAAGCCCACCCAGCAGACAGGAAGAGCTCCGGAGCTGCACCAAGCCGAACAAGCAAAGCGTGTCAGCAGCCGAAGCTGCTACATGTTGTTGTTGCTGTAATGAGTGTTTATTGGATCAGTCATGATTACAGGCTGCAGACCTGTCATTTACTGCTCAGTCACATCCAGTCAGTCTCTTTATTTCTCTCAACCTTCACCTTCATTTAAACTCACACATGTTTCAGAAGAAATTTGTGAAATAAAACAGAAAGAAGATGGAGACTTACACATCTGTTAGCAAAATATCTCAGGAACCACTGGAAGGATTTTAATGAAACTTWCAGGAATTAATCAGTGGACACATCTCTGCGCCTGATTAACGTTTGGAGTCTATCAAGATGGCCGCCACCGCCTAAACAGTTTTAAATGTCGTAAACATCTACGCTCAGTCCGTTCTAAAGCTGCTGGGATATAACTTGKTGTGGTAATAGCTGACAGTTAGTCACAATCAATGCTCTAACCGTGACACAGTGTCCCTCAACCAGCCGGTCGAGGCAGATGGTCTCCTGTCCTGAGCCTGGTTCTGCTGGAGGTTTCTTCCTGATTAGCAGGGAGTTTYTCCTCYCCACYDYTTGCTCAGGATGGGAGACTGTGATGAAGTGATTCAACACAATCTGCTGCTTTCTTCTTTACATTGTTCTTTTTATGAACAGTGTCCTGAGACAACGTGTGTTGGGACTTGGAGATATATAAATAAATCAAAAATAGATTTAATTTTGCCATAATTTTGGTGTAAAACTTATAAAATTAAGCAGGAAGTGATCAGCATTACAACAGGGTTTAGATTCAGTCAAAACTCTAAAATAATTTATTAATAATCTGACTTTTCTGCTGGTTTTAGGTCTCAAACTTCACCTCTTCATGTTGTGAATACACGCTTGTGTTCTGCCAGTCCTGGTGACGTCACAGCCGTGCTCGCTCTCTGATTGGCTGCGGCCGCTCCGCCCCTCAGCTCCCAGTGAAGCAGTAAGTGAAGTGGGCGGAGCCAGAGGAGCAGCGGGTTATATATGTGAGAGCGGGCACCGCGTCCCGTTACCTCCCGGCAGCTCGTGGACCTGGACCGGACCGGACCGGAGGCAGTCCCGCGGGGTGACAGGATTTGACACGACTCGGTGGCGACAGAAAAATAAAACATGTCCGCCAACAAGGACGACGGAGGCTGGAAGAAGTTCCTGTGGAACTCTGACACCGGGGAGCTGCTGGGCCGGACGGGAGGCAGCTGGAGTGAGTGTGACCCACAGAACCAGAACCACGGGACCGGCCCGGTTTTCTTTTCCTCCGCCTCGTGCCTCACCTGTTTCACCTGACTGCGTCACTCTGTCCGACAAACTTTGTCTTTGTGTTTGAACCCGAACCTGTCGGTCAGAACCTGAACCTGTCGGTCCGAACCTGAACCTGTCGGTCAGAACCGGTTCGGCTCAGCCCAGTCAGTTAGAGGTCCAGTTGTTATAAAGGGTTAAAAATGCATCAGGAGCTCAGGTGAGTCAAGGTGACTCGGCTCGGTTCGGTAACCCGACACAGACGGTATCGATCCGGTTCGGGTTCCGGTGAGGCGGAAGCTCCAGGACCGACGGGCTTTGACCTTCCGCCTCAGTGCGCACGCGCGGCCTGCTGAATGTCAAACACCTGGCAGGTGTGGAGCCTGGAGGTCACCTGAGGTCAGCTGACAACACCTGAGCTGTAGTCTGGTCTGAGCTGGACCAGGTCCTGGACTGGTCAGGGTCAGAGGTCAGACTCAGGTTCAGGTTCTGGTCCAGGTTCAGGTTCAGGTTCTGGTTCTGGTTCAGGTTCAGGTTCTGGTCCAGGTTCAGGTTCTGGTTCTGGTCCAGGTTCTGGTTCTGGTTCTGGTCCAGGTTCAGGTTCTGGTTCTGGTCCAGGTTCTGGTTCAGGTTCAGGTTCTGGTCCAGGTTCTGGTTCTGGTTCTGGTTCTGGTTCTGACGGTTGTTTGTGTCTCCTCCAGTCAAGGTCACTCTCTTCTACGTGGTCTTCTTCTTCTGCCTGGGTGGGATCTTCGTGGGGACCATCCAGGCCATGCTGCTCACCCTGGACGACTTCAGGCCCACCTGGCAGGACCGAGTGGCTCCTCCCGGTAAGACCCCGAGCCGGTCCGGTTCAGAACGTCTGGTCCAGGACAGGACGGGCCCGGCTGATAAACGGAGCAGAACCTCCTGAGTTTCTGTAATTTTATCTGAAGCTGGTGCTGACTCAGCATCCTGCTGCTGACGCTGCAGAGTGTTCTGGTCCTGGTTCTGGTTCTGGTTCTGGTTCTGACCCACACAGACTCACAGGCTGGGTCTGACACTGTGACCTCTGAACCCTGTGGAGGTCAGGAACAGGAAGGTCACAGCAAGGTCACCTCAGAGTCCAGACCAGTCCAGACCTGACCTGACCTGACCTGACCTGACCTGACCTGACCTGACCT